TGGCTCCCAAGGCCAGTGCCTTGACGACATCGCTGCCGCGGCGGACGCCGGAGTCAACGTAGACTTCGCAATTGCCCTTGACCGCATCGACGACCTCGGGGAGCATCTCGATTGCGCCCATGGTCATGTCCAGTTGGCGTCCACCGTGGGTCGATACCAGGATGCGTCGACACCGCTCTCGGCGGCGATGTGGGCGTCCTCGGCGGTGCGGATGCCCTTGAGCACCAGGGGCAGGCCGGTGAGGCTGCGGAGCCATTCAAGCTCCTGCCAAGTGAGGGGAACGGTGCGGTTGACGTTCCAGCCGACCGACTCGTCGGTGCCGCGTAGCACGTTCTCCGGCTTGTTGACGCCCCGGAAGTTGCCTTGCTCGAAGTTCCGGTTGTACCGGTTGCGCAGGTCACGCTCCTTGGGGCTGGGGGTGGGGGTGTCCACCGTCAGGGTGATGGCCTTGAACCCGGCCTCTTCGGCGCGGCGGACCAGCATTTCGGTGAGGTCGTAACCCCGGTGGTAGAGCTGGAAGAAGAGGGGGCTGGTGGCTTCCTCGGCGACCTCTTCCATACTGCAGTTGGAACCGGTGCTGAGCATCATCAGGGTGTTGGACATGCTTGCGCCGCGGGCGGTGGCCACCTCTCCCTCGGGATGGGCTCGGTGGTGGGAACCTGCGGGGCAGACGAACACAGGCATACTGAGTTCACTACCCAGCATGGTGGTCGAAAGGTCCCGCTCCCCGATGTCGCGGAGGAACCTGGGGCGCAGAGTCAGTTCCTCGAAGGCGGTGCGGTTGCGCCGGGTGGTGAACATGTCCATAGCCCCGGCGTCGATGGTGTCCCAATCGTCGTGGGGCAGGACCAGCCTGGCACGTTCCTCGTAGTCGTAAAGGTTGATGGGGTCGAATCGCATCTGGACCTCCCTTTGGAGACGGATCCTACCCGCCGCTTCCCGCCCGGCATGAGGGTATGGGGCAGCGTTCTCGGTGGGTAGAGTTGACGGCGCCCATACTTTACGGCCTGGAGCGGCTGCGGGCAAGTCCCAGGGGAATGGCGAGAGCGTTTCAGTTGGGGTGGTGAAGGGTCGCCTCACTTTGTTGCACATTCAGGGAGTTCATATTTCTCCCACCGACACCTGGGCCAACGAATCTCCTGCTTTGACTGTGTGGGCGTAGGGTCACCTGACCCCCGAAAACCGATGCGGGGTCAATGTTAGGGTCCGACACATGGGGGATAAAATGCCTAATTTACAACGACGGTTATCTGACCGGGTGATTTTCGCGACCCATTAGGACCTGAACGTACTGCATGAGCTTACCGCGATTTCTCACTCGTGCCGATACGGGGATCAGGAACCATATTTGGCATCCGTCGTTGTAATACTAAGAGGGTGTCTAAAAAGGGGAACCGTAGGCTAGTCGGCGTAGCATCAGACCGGTCATCGCGATGTATAACCAAGTTTCGGTGGCCTCGCACAACGCTTCGTAGTCCTTGCTCAGTCGGCGTTGCAGGTTCAACCAACCAAAGGTCCTTTCCACCACCCATCGTCGGGGCAACACCTGGAAGGTACGTTGCTGGGCGGGACGACGCACTAATTCCAGGTTCCAACCGCCCACCGTCCTGGCCCACTCCACCAGCTTCCCGCCGTAGGCGCCATCGGCCCAGATCACCTGTAGCCGATGGTATCCAGCCGTAATCTGATCGACCCAGCAACCGCCGCAATGCTAACCGAGCGCCGTCCCGATCCTGAATATCGGCGGGATGCACCACCACTGCCAGCAGCAGCACCAGAGTATCTACCACGATATGGCGTTTCCGTCCGTTCACCTTCTTGCCAGCGTCGTAGCCTCTGGGCCCCCTTTTTCACCAGTCTTTACCGACTGACTGTCACCGACTGACTCTCAATGATGGCTGCGCTGGGACTGGCCGGGCGGGCCTGAGCTGGTCGCAGACTGGAATGCAGCTTGTCATTGGCTCGTTGCCAAGTTCCATCCCGACGCCAGGTGCGAAAGTAATGGAAGGCAATGCGTCAGAGTGGCAGGTCATGGGGCAACATCCGCCAGGCGCAACCAGTACGCAGCACGTAACGAACGGCGTTCACAATCTCCCGACGGGGGTACTTGACGGGTCGACCGCCCGGTTTGGGCGGTGGTAGCAGGGATTCCAGCAGTTGCCACTCCCGGTCGCTGAGGTCGCTGGGCTAAGTCGCTCTTGCCATACCTCCAGACTACGCTAGCCCATCCCGGCTGCGCTTACATTTCTTGATGCGGGTTTCACCCTTTTTAGACACCCTCTAAGCACGGGCGCAGGAACTAACTGGAAGCGTCCAAACCGATATTCACCACCTCGCGTTTACACTTCCTTGGCTTCAGTTAAGGAAACGGGCCGCCGGTTGGCGGCCCGCCCTAGTTCCCTCTGAACAAACTCCCCGCCTACTTGAAGTGGGGGATGACGTCTTCGGAGAGGCACTTTAAGGTTTCCATAATTACGTCCCGGGGGACGGATGATGTCCAGTTGCACTCGAACATAATTTCGTCGGTAGTGAAAGCCTCCCTGAACATGTGGATTTTCTCGACCACCTCTTCCGGCGTTCCGAAGAGGTTGACTTCCTCGGTGGCATCGGGGCCGGCGCTGCCGGCGTCGGTGCTGCCGATGCCCACACGGCCCGCGTAATAGATGCGGGCGAGGTCCATGAGGTTTTCGACCCGGCGGTCGGCCTTTTCCTGGGTGTCGGCAACGAGAGTGGGCACCCGCACTACGGTGCTAGGCTCTCCTTCATGCCCGGCGTCTATCCACGCCTTGCGGTAGGCCTGGACGTCCTCGCGGAGGACGGCGGAGCCCCGCAGGTTGTGAGGGGAACTGCCGGCGCCGATGGCAATGCGGTACCCTTGCTCGCCCATGGGCACGAAGCTCTCCTGGCTGTCCACGGGTAGCAGCATTGGCATGGGCTTCTGCACCGGCTTGGGGATGCTCATGTAGCTCTCGTAGAACGCGGGATATTTGAAGTACTTGCCCTCGAAACCGGAAAATCTGTCCTCGTCCCACAGCTGCTTGAGCAGCTCGAGGTACTCGAAGAAGTACTCCCGGCGCTCGGCAGAGCCGCGAGTGCGGGCTCCTGCTCCGTAGATGAAGCGTCCCTCGCTGATCTGGTCAATGATGGCAGCCTGTTCCGCAACCTGGAAGGGGTCCTCGGGCTGGAGGTTGTCAAAGGCGTACCTTTCGTGGGGCAACGCCCGCGGCGACAGGGTCTCACCGGGTAACCGTAGGGTCGGGCGGTGGATGGAGGTCCCAATCTTTATGTTCTTGGTGTGGTTGGCGATGACGGCCGACAGCATGAGGGACTGGGGGTCCATGCTGCCCTGGGTGGAGAAGTGACCGCCGCCGAACCAGACGTAGTCCCAGCCCGCATCCTCGATGTGCTCGATCTCCCGGAAGTTCTGCTTGTAGGCATCGGCTTCCAGGAGCCTACCGCCCTGATAGTCGGGGTCCCAGGGGACCATGCCGCCTTCGTAAACAGCGTTCCAAGTAGTAAACAATCCAAAGTCCATGTTCACCCCTCCGTGAAAAGTGTGGGGATACGGTTCCGTGTTACTCCCGATGATATGTCGGCGGGTTGCCAGAGTCAATTTTAAGATCCGGCCATCGGGGCGATAGATAGGAAACAACCCCGATTGGTTGTTGCTCATTCACAACTAGCCACAGGAAACCCCCTCATCGGAGCGGAAGTGGGAAAGTGCTCGCGGAGCTGGGCCACCATCGGGTTGGCGCGGGCTTGCACATCCTCGGGTGAGAGTTGTATGTAGGCGGTGCGGATCAAGGTGGCGACACCCGCACTTGGACAAGCTATGCAGGGAGCCCATGGCCACCGGGGTGGGTAGGTTGGCCATAAAGTGAGTGCGGCACCGTTGCCAAGCAGGGTCGGCAGCCATCACCGCGCTGACGTTGACAATGCGACCACTTTCTCGAACCCTCTGGAGTCACGCGTCCACCCACACATAGGGATGAGGACCGCCGTCCACGGGTCGGCCCGGAAATTCTCCACCACCTGGTACAGGTCTCGGAAAATGCGAGACACCTGACTTTTTGATATGCCATCGCAGCCAATAGCGTTTGTCAGGCCGTCCACCCTCCTGGTGGACACCCCCTCCGCGTAGGCGTGCTGAATGACACTCAGCAAAGCCCACTCACTGCGTCGCCTGGGTTCCAGCAGGCTTGGGAAATAACTGCCCTCCCGGATCTTGGGGATCCGCAACTCAATGGTGCCCACCCGAGTGTCCCAGGGTCGGCTGCGGTAGCCGTTGCGGTGGGTAACGCGCTCCCCACGCTGGGCGCCGATCTGGGCCGCCACCTCGGCGTCCATGATGCCCTACACCAGCACCTGCAGGGCTTCCCGTAGGGAGTCTACATCGCCGTCCATGCCGCGCTTGCGAAGTAGTTCCAAAAGGTCCATGCTGTTTTTGGCCACCGTAGTCCTCCTTAGTCGGGTTTGTACCTATTCCGATAAGGATGGCGGAGTGGCCTGCTTCCTGCCACCTGGTTTCTCTTACAGCACGTCCAGGGCTCTACTGAAAGGCCAGGGAGCCAGCGGTCAATTACAAGTGGATAAAGCGCCGTTTGACGGGTAGAATGACCAGTACGCAAATCCGCCCAGGAGCAACCAACGCAACCAGGCGATATCCCCGGGCAAGCCAATGATGACCCTGCAGGACTCGGTTGGGACCCGTATTCGTTGGTAACGGGGGCGATTGGCCTGTGGTACATGACCTTTGTATTTTCCGGTGGTAGCAACTCTGGCAACTTGTCACTAATCCTTGTTCCAGCTTTTGCTGCCTTTCTTGTGGGGTTGGCGATGTGTGCAGGTCCGATTGCATGGATGCTGATTTGGCTGGTCAAACAGGCCAAGCAGGTTCAAACCAATAAGGTTCCGACCCTCGAGCATGGGACGAGCCGCAGCCGCCCGCATACCCTGTTCTGTAATGGGGTTGAGTGAAAAGAAATGGTTGGAGACAAGCAATGCCAAAGATAATCCCGGTACCCGATGAACTCAGCCAGCCCTTCTGGGACGCGGTGAACGAACAGCGCCTAGTCCTCCAGAACTGTACCGTCTGCGACAAGCTCCAGTACCCGCCCCAGGCGGCCTGCCAGGCGTGCGACTCCGCCGATGGACTGGAGTGGGAAGAGGTAGAAGGGAAGGGCCACGTCGCCACCTACATCGTCATCGAGGACGGCCGCCTCAACCGTCGGATGTCCGACCAGCCCTACAATCTTGCCGTTGTGACGCTGGACCAGGACCCCACTGTGAACTTCTACTCCAACCTGCCGGGCGTCCCGGCCTACCGGGTGCCGGTGGGCGCGGCCGTGGAAGTTACCTTCGAGGAAGTGGCCCCCGGCCAGTTGATACACGAGTGGCGGGTGGTGGAATAACCATTATTGAGCATTCGCGCTTATTCGTGGATAAGCGATAAAAGGACGGACTATGACCAGTAGCAATGACTTCCAGTGGCGCAGGGACCGGGACGGCCTGGGCGTGTGGGAACACCGGGGCAAGGTGGCCGTCGTCGGTTACGGCCATTCGCCGGTGGACCGGCGGTGGGACGGCGAGGACCTGGATACCTCCCTGGGCGCTTACACCATCATGGCCTGCGAAAAGGCCATGGAGCAGGCCGGAGTCACCATTGACCAGGTGGACGGCATCGTCTGCTGTGACAGCCACATCGCCGGCGGCAGCGGGGGTTCCGCCTCCCAGTGGGCGCCCCGGCCCTACTTCGACCCACCCTACGACTCGGAATACGGCCTGACTCTGATTAACGCCCAGTGGCTCATCAACACCATGGGCTTCAAGAACGTCAAATTCGCCCCCAACGGGGTGCCGACCATCGGCGAGATGATGGGCATGGCCTCCCAGGCCGTGGGCGACGGTGTTTGCTCTACCTGCCTGGTCATCTATCCCACCGGCAACATGGAAGGCCGCTACCGGCGGGGCGGGGAGAATGCCGACGACTACGCCCGGGGCGCACGCCAGTGGACCGTGCCCTGGGGCAACCACGGTGGCAACGACTTCATCAACATCTTCCCCCACAACCAGTACTGCCTGAAATACGGCGGCGAACATGACGACCTTGCTCCCTTTGTCATCAACCAACACAAGAACGGGATGCTAACCCCCTGGGGGTACAACTACAACCACGGGATTGAACTCATATCGGTGGAAGACTACACGACCTCCCGGTACATCTTGAATCCCTTGCGCATCTGGGACTGCGACCGTCCCGTCAACGCCTCGGCCGCCTACCTGTTCACCACCGCCGAGCGGGCGCGGGATATGAAATCCCAGCCCGTTTACGTGCTCAACCATTCCCAGCACAACTTCCGGTTCCGAACCACCCACCCGACCTGGACGAAGTGGAAATGTGGACCGACCGGCAGGCCGCCCGCATGTACGAGGGCGCCGCCTTGGGACCCGCCGACGTGGACATCTTCAACCCCTACGACGGCTACTCCATAATGGCCCAGTTCTTCCTGGAAGGCTTCCAGTGGCACGGGGTCAAGCGGGGCGATGCCTTTGCCTTCTACGCCGGCGACATCAGCGTCAAGGGCCCCCACCCCTTCAGTTCCAGCGGCGGCAACCTGGGCAACGGTCGCACCCGCACCCCCATGTACACCGATAGCATCGAACAACTCCGGGGCACCGCCGGCGACCGCCAGGTAACCGTGCGGGCCGAGACCGCCCTGTGCGCCTTCACCACCCCCAGCAGCGGTGGCTGGCTGATGCTGGGCAAGTACCCTTCGTGATGATTCCGGGAACGACGTGAAGATTCAGGGAAGCTCATAACCACGTCATTCCGGCGCAGGCCGGAATCCAAAAACCCCGGAATGTAGATTCCGGCTAAAGCCGGAATGACGGCCCGCCGGCGGAAAGGGCGACTTATTCAGAGGTTCCCTAGTATTACAACGACGGATTTCCCAATATTGCGGCTGACCCTTCGTATTTGGCCCAGAGCGAGCTATCGTAGTAGGTTCACGGCAGTACGTTGTCAGGTTCAAGTTGTTCTCGAAAATCACCCTTCCAGATAAACTGTCGTTGTAATACTAGTGTCCTGTATCTGAAGTTGGTTGAATTAGATTCAGGTGTGGGGTATCCTGCTCGCCACTGGCAGCAGGAGGACCGAAATGGCGATAGGGCGACCAATTCCGCCGTTGACACTGGACGATGGGGAACGGGAAACCCTGGAACAGTGGGTCCGCCGGCCCAAAACCGCGCAAGCGTTAGCCCTGCGGGCCAGAATCATCCTCAGTTGTGCCGAAGGCCTGGCCAATACCGTGGTGGCCGCTCAGTTGGGAGTGTCCAAACCGACGGTGGGGAAGTGGCGTTCCCGATTCCTGGCGCAACGACTGGACGGTCTGCTGGACGGGTCGCGCAGTGGTCGCCCCCGGGTGGTAACCGACGCTGACGTGGAGCGGGTTTGGCGTTGACCCTGGAGACCACGCCCCGGGATGCCACCCACTGGAGCACTCGGTCCATGGCCCAGCGCTCCGGTTTGAGCCACAACACCATCAGTCGCGTCTGGCGTGCCTTCGGGCTGCAGCCTCATGTTGCCCCATCGGGAAATGTAACCGAAACCTTCAAGTTGTCGGCGGATCCCCGGTTCATCGAAAAAGTGCCGGACTGAAAAAGTACGGGACGTAGTGGGGCTTTACCTCAACCCGCCAGAGCGGGCACTGGTGATGTGCACTGGTGATGTGCGTTGATGAGAAGTCCCAGATTCAGGCCCTGGATCGCACCAGGCCCCTGCTGCCCATGTGACTGGGCCAGATGGGACTGGGCCAGGCCGAGCGGCGCACCCATGATTACGTTCGCCACGGCACCACGTCGCTGTTCGCCGCGCTGGACACCAGGTCGGGCAAGGTAATTGGCCAATGCCACCGGCGCCACCGGGCGGTGGAGTTCCGCAAGTTCCTCGATACCCAGACCGCCCGATACCATCGAGGTACAAGTGCCCGCCGACTTGGACGTACACCTGATTGTGGACAACTACGCTACCCACCAGACGGCGCTCATCTGGAATTGATTCGCCAAGCGGCCCCGCTTCCATGTTCACTTCACACCCACCAGCGCCTCCTGGCTCAACTTGGTGGAGCGCTGGTTTGCACTGCTCACCGACAAACAACTGCGCCGGGGAGTGCACCGGAGCAGCAGGGAACTGGAAGCGACCATCTACCGATACCTGGACGTTACCAACGAAAACCCCAAACCCTTTGTCTGGACCAAGACCGCTGATCAAATTCTGGCCAACGTAGCACGCTATTGCCAACGTACTTTAGATACAGGACAATAGATAGGGCAATGGCCCTGCCTACCGGCCTGCCTCCGAACCTCATTTGATCTGCAGCGGGCTGTTCCTGCATGGATGGCTCAGGCAGCAGGAGAGATCGTACGTCGATTGGCCGTCCTATTCGAACAACTGATGGGCATCCCAATCTGTTCACGCGGTTTGCACGCCGGCGGCTGTTTGCAGGGCCAACTCTTCCACTGCCATCTCGCGCATGCGGAACTTCTGGATCTTGCCGGTTACGGTCATGGGGAACTCGTCGGTGAACTTGACGTAACGGGGGACCTTGTAGTGGGCGATCTGGCCACGGCAGAAGTCGCGGATGGATTCTTCGGTGGCGTCCGCGTCGGGCTTGAGGCGGACCCAGGCCATGACCTCCTCGCCGAACCGCTCGTCGGGCACGCCGATGACCTGCACGTCGTCGATCTGCGGGTGGGTGTACAGGAACTCCTCGATCTCGCGGGGGTAGATGTTCTCGCCACCGCGGATGATCATGTCCTTTAAGCGGCCAGTTATCTTGTAGTAGCCGTCCTCGTCGACGGTGGCGAGGTCGCCGGTGTGGAGCCAGCCGTCGGCGTCGATGGCGTCGGCGGTAGCCTCGGGCATGTTGAAGTAGCCCTTCATCACCATGGTGCTGCGAGTTTGAAGCTCGCCCTGCTGGCCCGGGCCGACCACGAGGCCGGTCTCCGGGTCGACCAGTCTGACCTCCACGCCCGGCAGAACCTTGCCCACGGTGGAGACACGACGCTCGATACTGTCGTCGGCGAGGGTCTGGGTAACCACCGGCGAGCCTCGGTTTGGCCGTAGGCGATGGTGATGCGGTCGGCGCCCATGCGGTCGATGACCTCACGCATAACCTCGATGGGACAGGGGGAACCAGCCATGATGCCGGTGCGCAGGGACGAGAGGTCGAGGTTGGTGAACTCGGGATGGCCGAGCTGGGCGATGAACATGGTGGGCACGCCGTGGACGGCGGTGCACCGCTCAGCGGAGATGGCGTGCAGGGTCTGGAGGGGATCAAAGTGCTCGGCGGGAATGATCATGGTGGAGCCGTGGACAACGCAGTTGAGGCTGCCCATGACGCAACCGAAGCAGTGGTAGAAGGGAACCGGGATGCACAGGCGGTCGTGTTCGTCCATCTCCATGGCGTCGCCGACGTGGAGGGCGTTGGATAACAGGTTGTGGTGGGTGAGCATAGCGCCCTTGGGGTTGCCGGTGGTGCCAGAGGTGTACTGGATGTTGACCACGTCGTCGGGGTCGCACTGGGCCTGGCTATTACGGAGGTCGTCCGGGCTCGTCTGCTCGGCGAGGGTCAGCAGGTCGTCCCAGCGCCACATGCCGGGGGGTGTGGGAGTGGAAACGTCGTCGTGGGGCGGGATGAATATGACGTGGCGCAAGTGGGGGAAGCGAGTGGAGTTGAGCTCGCCGGCCGCCGCCGCCGCCAGCTCAGGGACCACTTCGTTGACCATGCCCGCGTAGTCGGAGGTGCGGCCTGTCAGGGACGGGACGCGGAACCGGCCGATAAGGATGAGGGCGCCAATCTGCGCCTGCTCCAACACGTAGGCGAGTTCGCGGGTGCGGTAGGCCGGGTTTACGGTGACGAGGACGGCGCCGATCTTGGCGGTGGCGAACTGGGCGATCACCCACTCGGTGTAGTTGGTGGCCCAGATGCCGACATGCTGGCCTTTTTCGATGCCGATGGACAGGAGGCCACGGGCCACGCGTTCCACCTCGGCATGAAACTCGCGGTAGCTGAGGCGGTCGCCGGTGGCCGTATGGACAAGGGCTTCCCGTTCGGCGAAGCGTTGGGTCTGGATGTCGAGGATGTCGCCGATGGTGCTGCGCGTGTCGATGTTGTGAGTCATGGTCAACCTCCTGCCGGTTTGGTCCAAGCGATTAGGCCGCGGCCAGGTCGTGCTCGATCATAGACCAAGGCGTGACGTCCGTCCCGCGAGTTTCGAGTTCCTGTTCCATTGTAGCGATGCGGGGGCGGTTCAGCGCAAGGGCTCGGCGTAGATCTGTCCGCCATTGGGGCAATCGACAAAGGAGGCGTCGTGCTAGACGACATGCGAGGCTATCTTGTCCGACGAAAAGAATGTCAACGTCGGCACCACAACAGCTGCACAATCAATCCGGCGCAAGCCGGGTGTTCATTGAACTAGATGCTTTTACCCCGAATCCACCGAAGGAGGGCGTTGGGTCAGTTGTAGAGGCCGGCAGTTGTGTGTACCCAGCTTTCGGTGGTCCCCGGAGGCGGCGTGGAGGAAAATCACCGGTGTGTCGGAGCCGCCGGTGTCCTCGTACCACAAATCGACTCCGGGGAGGGTAAAGTGTGGCATCAGGTCATCCTTGCCAGTGGGGCGGCAGGCTGGGTTCCGACCTGCCGAAGCGACGGGACAACCATTCCTGGTTGCGACGGCCGTCCTCATAGCCTGGGTGTTCCGCCTTGTGGACCTCGGTTTCGCCCGGCATGGACTGTACCAACGGGTCGAGGGCGGCGTCCAGCGCCGACCCGTCCGCGCCTGCCATGAGCAGGGTGGTTGAGTTAACCCGAGGCGCGAACCAGCGCAGATCGAAGTAGGACAGAGTGCCTCGCGCCATCTGCTCCTGTTCCGGATTCAGGCGTAAGTAGTCATTGATCTCCTCCAGCGCGTACGCGCTGGTGCGCCGTGCCAGGTCGGCGGTACCGTATAGGAAAGCCGGCGTGCACACCAGGTGCGTAACCTTTGGACACAGCGCCGCCGTGGTGTACGCCAGGTCGTTGCCGATGGTGGCGATGCGCGCGCCGTCAACTTCGGGCCGGCTGGCCAGTATTCCAGCCCGCGGGCGCAGTCGGCACGAAGCCCAGGTACACCTAGCCCGCCGGGCCATCTATGCCGTCGGTGAGCAGGCCGCGACAACCGGGATTGAATTGCCGGTTGCTCCGGAGCTTGCCCCGTGGGGCTACGCCGAACGCCGCTTAGCCTTTGCGCGCCCAGACCTTGGGCACCGGCGGTTCCATGTTGTAGCCCGGCACCTGCAACAGGCCCGGCAGTTTGCCTTCCCTCTCGCGTAGCGCCGCGTACCAGCCGGCAATTCTGACCCGGTCCAGGCTGGTCAAGAAGACCTCGTACACATGGATCTGTTCGGTGGACCGCAATGGGACGTGGACTACCTCGGGCTCCAGCGGATTCTTGGCGGTTTCTGCCAGACCTTCTCCCCAGAACAAAATCCAACATGGGCGACCCGCGCAGGTCTACGGCGCGCAAGAACGAGTGGGGGCAATCTCAACTTGGCCTAAACTTCCAGGGCAGTCCTAAATCCTGGGGATTTCGTACACACACCGCCATGTTTACTCGATCCGAGATGGCAGGATGGCGGTTTCTCCGAGTCATCGCTCACCATCGTCGTTATCAGGGGCCAGTTCCAAAAGGCGCATGCCCCGCTGCACCTGCTGACCGGGTTCAACCGCCACGCGCCGCACTACTCCGCTGCGGGGAGCCGTGATCACCAACTCCATTTTCATGGACTCCATCAACACTACAGTCTGGTTTTGCTCCACCCGGTCACCCTCGCTGACCAGCACCTCCAACACCGACCCAGGCATGGGGGCCAGGACATCGCCCGGACCTTCGGTGGCCGATGCGCTCCCTCGACGCCTGGCCTCCGCCCGCTGGAACACGAACAAAGAACCATCCAGCCAAAGGTGTAACTCAGGACCCACCCATGCCCAGGCGAAGCGGTAAAAGCGGCCCGACTCAGTTCTGCACAGCGCTCCACCAGCCTCACGGGACTCAATGCTGAGAGCAATCGTGGATTCCAAGCCGGTCGGAACCGAACCTTCCAGATCGAAAATCAGATGACCTTCGCTCTCTTCCAGCCGGTAGCGATAGGGTTCCTGCGTCGCCGGGTACGTCTCCCGCATCTCGCCCTGGCTCTGGGTCATGGGAGCCTCCGCTGTCCGGCGGACTGCCAGGGATTGGCGCTAACCGGCCTATCGCTGCCAGCCTGTTGAGATGCTTGACCAACAGGCTGACGCGACGCCCAGGCCGCCAGCGCGCGGGCCATCATGCGAGAGTCACCCGAAATGAACGGGCTGGTAACCGCCGGGTTCCACTCCAAGAAGCCGGTGTCGTATTCGCCCTGCTGAAACTGGGCATGCCCCACCACCGCCCGCAGCAGCGGAATGTTGGTGACAACTCCCAACACCAGGAACTGGGAAAGGGCGGCCTCCATCCGGCGCAAGGCCAGGTCGCGCTCAGGAGACCAGGCGACGAGCTTCGCCAGCATGGAGTCGTAGTAGATGGACACTTCCTGACCCTCGGACACGCCGCTGTCCAGCCGGAGCCCGGGCCCGCTGGGGGGCCGCCAACGCAGCAGCGTACCGGTGGACGGAACGAAATCGCGATACGGATCCTCGGCGTATATGCGGCACTCGATGGCGTGGCCCCGGGGTTGGATGTCCTCCTGTTGAAGCGTCAGAGGTTCCCCTCCGGCGATGCGGATCTGCCATTCCACCATGTCCAACCCCACGACGGCCTCGGTCACCGGGTGTTCAACCTGGAGCCGGGCGTTCATTTCCAGAAAGTAGAATTCGCCGCTCCTTGGGTCCAGCAGGAATTCAACCGTCCCGGCGTTGACGTATCCGGCCTCGCGGGCCACAGCGATGGCGGCGTCGCCCATGCGCCGGCGCAACTCCGGCGTCAGGGCCGGCGATGGGGTCTCCTCAATGATCTTCTGGTGGCGGCGTTGGATGCTGCACTCGCGTTCGCCCAGGTGGATAGTGTGCCCGGACCCGTCTGCCAGCACCTGGATCTCCACGTGGCGCGGGTTGGCAACGTACCGCTCCAGGAACATCCGGCCGTCGCCGAAAGCAGCCTGCGCTTCCCGGCTGGCCGTCTCCATATCCCCGCCCAAATCGGCCTGGCGGTTGACCTGGCGCATGCCGCGACCGCCTCCCCCGGCGGCCGCCTTGACCATCAGGGGAAACCCCCATCGGTCAGCAAACTCTACGGCCACTGGATCCCCAGGAAGACACGCGGGCGTACTGGGGACCACCGGGACACCCGCGGCCAGCGCGATGTCCTTGGAATGCAGCTTATCCCCCAGCGCGGCCATGCTTTCCGGCGTAGGTCCGATGAAGGTTATGTGCGCGTCCCGGCAGGCCCGGGCAAACTCCGGATTCTCCGACAGGAAACCGTAGCCCGGGTGGATCGCGTCGACCCCGCAATCCCTTGCAGCTTGCACCAGTTTGGAGATGCTCAGGTAAGTCTCCTCGGCAGTGCTGCCGGGCAGGGCCACCGCCTGCTCCGCCATGAGCACGTGGGGAGTTCCGGCGTCAGGGTCGGAATAGACCGCGACCGGCATAATGCCCATAGCGTGCAGCGTCTGGTTAATGCGGACCGCGATTTCTCCGCGATTGGCTACCAGAACTTTGGAGAACATCGGAAAACGTGCTGCGCGGAATCGTGTGGCCCGAGCGGGAACAGGCTGGCCATCACATTCGGAAGATGCCGCGCTTTTGCTCGGGGAACGGGGCATTTATCGAGGCGGCGATTCCCAAGCCCACCACGTCGCGCGTGTCCACCGGGTCGATGATCCCGTCGTCCCACAGGCGGGCGGTGCTGTAATAGGGATCGCCCTCCAACTCGTACTTTTCCAGGATGGGACGTTGCAGGTCGTCCCGCTCCTCCTGCTCCATAGTACGTCCCTGCCGCTCCAACTGCTGCAACCTGATTGTGAGCAGCACCTCCGCTGCCTGCTGCCCGCCCATCACCGAAATGCGGGCGTTGGGCCACGTCCACAGGAACCGCGGCTGGTAGGCCCGCCCGCACATGCCGTAGTTTCCCGCCCCGAAGGAACTGCCGATGATCACGGTGAACTTGGGTACGGCTGCGTTGGACACTGCCATGACCATCTTGGCCCCGTCCTTGGCAATACCACCATGCTCGTACTGGCTGCCCACCATGAAGCCGGTGATGTTCTGCAGAAACAGCAGTGGGATCCCCCGTTGGCTGCACAGATCTATGAAATGGGTACTCTTCAGAGCGCTCTCGGAAAAGAGGACTCCGTTGTTGGCGACCACTCCCACCGGATACCCCCAAATACGCGAGAAGCCGCAGACCAGGGTTCCCCCGTACTCGGCCTTGAACTCGTGGAACCGGCTCCCGTCCACAATGCGGGCGATTACCTCACGCACGTTGTATTGCCGCCGGTTGTCGGGGGACACTATGCCGTAGAGCTCGGCCGGATCGTAGGCTGGCGGTTCCGGGTGGAGACCTGGAACGGAAGGTCTCGCCTCTTCACGAAGTTCTCGATGATGTCTCGGGTGATGGCCAGGGCGTCTTCATCGTCAACGGCCTGGTGGTCGGCCACGCCGGATATTCGGGTATGCACGTCCGCGCCGCCCAGAGTCTCCGGGTCCACCTCCTCGCCAGTGGCCGCCCTCACCAACGGCGGCCCGCCCAGGAAGATGGTGCCCTGCTCCCGAACCATGACCACCTCATCGCTCATGGCCGGAATATACGCTCCGCCGGCCGTGCAAGACCCCATGACTACCGCCACCTGCGGTATCCCCAGGGCCGACATCTGCGCCTGGTTGTAGAAGATGCGCCCGAAGTGGTCCCGGTCGGGGAATACCTCCGCCTGCAATGGCAAAAAGGCTCCGCCGGAATCCACCAGATAGATGCAGGGCAGGTGGTTTTCTAGGGCAATTTCCTGGGCGCGCAGGTGCTTCTTGACGGTGATCGGATAATACGTTCCGCCCTTGACCGTGGCGTCATTGGCGACAACCACCACCTCTTTTCCCTGGACGACACCGACGCCGGTCACGATTCCGGCGGACGATTCCTCACCATCGTACATGTCCCAGGCCGCCAACGGGCTCAGTTCAAGGAACGGTGTGTTGGCGTCCACGAGAGCATCGATCCGCTCCCTGGCCAGCAGTTTGCCGCGGCTGCGGTGCAACTCCACCTGCCGCTCACCCCCGCCGGCCCGAACTTGGGCCATCCGGTCTTTCATGTCGCGCACCAGGGCCCCCATCCGGGCCTGGTTATCCTGAAAATCAGGGTCAGAGGTTCGCAGGTTGGAGGCGATTATTTCCATCACTATTCCGTGGGCAGCGTCCCCGGGGATTTCCCGACTTATGAACCAAATGGGCGCGGTCTCCCAGCGGAGAGCGCATAGCCAACTCGTTGCACAGGTTGTTCCAGGATCGGACCGATCTTGTAGTCATGCAGGACATGCAATTCCGCCTACCGGTTTGGAGCGGCGGGCCGCACCAATGGGACGGGCTTGTCGATGATAACACGACGCGGATTGTGGCGCGGGGTCGCGGGTGTAGTCTCGGATTCGGGCTCGGCATCGATCGGTATCGTGAGCCACCCCAACTCTGTGTCGGAAGTCCGACGAGCAGAGAGTCTGAGGATTAGTGGCCAAGGCTATGGGATGGATGGCGAGTTGTGGGTTGTGAGACTGGCGGTGTTGAGCGCAGCCAATGGGATGGGTAAACCGTCAGACGTCCAGGCTTCGGACCACCGGTGTTAGCCGGGAGACCGAACCGGAACAGTTTGAGCAGAGCCTGCCCTGAACTTGATTCAGGGTTGTGGCCGGTGCAGATCAGCGACCACTCGCCGTTGACCTTTTCCAAGCCCCGCAGGAGGAATTGCCGGAAGCCCCGTCCCGCCTTGATTTGGCCGAAGACTGGCTCCACCGTCTCCATCCGCAGGGCGTAGCGCTTACGACCACGCCTGGTTTGCAACTTGCGCCGCATCCGGTCCCTGGGGGAGAGATGACGGGGTGTGCGTCCTCGGGGCGCGGGCGGAACCACTCTGCCGTGGCGCGTCTGTTCCGGTGCGACAAACGGGTCCACGCCCAGGGCATGGAGGTCCTCGACTGCCTTTGCCGAGTAGTCACCGGCGTCGGCGGATACTTCCTTTGGTACTGCGCCTTGGTACTGAGCCGGTGTTGCTGATGGTTTCCGCAATCATGACCACGGCCTGCTGCTTGTCCGAGGACTGGCTGGTGGCCCGGGCCGCCACGATCACCTGGTGGGCGTGGTCCACCACCGCCTGTCAGTTGTAGGTCTGCTGGAAGTCCCGTCCGCCCGGCGCCGGCATGATGCGGGACTCAGCAGCGGTGAAATTGCGCTGGGCCTTGTCGTCGGGCACCCCAGGATGGGTCTTACCATCGACCTCGGCCAGCTCCTCCGGCAACTCCGCCGCCAACTGCGCTTCTTTCTCTTTCATCCGCTTATAACTCATCGCCTTTTGCTTCGATACGTTGGCCCTCACCTTGGTGCCGTCCAGCGCCACGTGACCCAACTTCACCAGCCCCGCCCGCTGGCACAATTCCAGCACCCGGAGAAACAGGCCAGTCAACGCCGCCAGGTGGTCCTTGCGAAAGTCGGAGATGGTGCGGAAGTCTGGGGTGCTATTCGCCGCCAGCACCCGAAAGGCGATGTCCTCGTGGAGCCGTTGGGCAATGCTCCGTAATGACGCCACCCCGACGCAGTGGCCGGAGAGCAGCACCTTGACCATCATCCGCGGATTATAGGGCGGCCCGCCACGCCTTTCCTGCTCGTAACTTGCGGTGATGTCCGACAGAGCCTGCCACCGCGAAAGCGGGGGTCCAACTGGTCGACCACTTCGGAGATGAAGTATGCCAGATGGTCGTCGGGCAGCCACTATTGCAGAGCCGCCGGCAGCAGCAACTGCTGGTCGGGGTCGTAGGGAGGGTAGGTCTTGCTCATCGACTGCACCACTGGTTTGATGCTCGACCCATCATACCCTTGACACCTCAACAAACGTGTTTCTCGGACGGGCTGCTAGTCAGGCTCGCAATCCTTCACATATTCCGGTGTTCGAAGTCACAGGCGGCATCGATACGCCGTATCTTAGAACGTCAACTGGTGATGTTTACGAAGGCGGCCGCTGGAGTCAGGTTGACTCGGTCGAACTGGCGTATGTGCGTGGGGACCAACTTGCCAGCCAGGTGGACCGAGATAGATTCAGCTGGAACTTTGCGCTTGCCGAGACGAATCAAACCTCAGATTCCAGTTTGCTGGCCTGGCCCAGGCCGGGCTACGGGATGTTTTGGGGGTTTGACGAAATCAAAATCTCGCCGCACTCCGAGGCCGGCAGTCTCCCTTCCGGCAGTTTACCCGTATCGCTGGGTCTCGACCGAATCTTTGTGGACGGCGTATACAAACCGTTCAGCGCTACGTTTACGTACGGAAACGAACTCACTGGTTATTCCTGGCTCACCCAGCGCATGGAATTTTCGTCGGATGAGTTGGTAACCGCCAGACCTTCCGCCGATCCCACCTACACTCAGCTACCCGACGGTTTGCCCAGCCGAATTCGGGAATTGGCTATGGAGATTACGTCTGTACACGATAGCCCATACGTAAAAGCCAAGGCCATCGAAGCGTACCTCCGCACCAACTACAACTACGCCTACGCTGATGCCGAAACCACCGGGCCCCCTCCCGGCTGGGATCCGGTTGACTGGTTCTTATTCGAACAAAAAGAGGGTACCTGCGGGCAGTTCAGCAGCGCTTTCGTGGTGATGGCTCGCGCCGTGGGTGTGCCGGCCCGCGTGGCGTCCGGCTGGGCAGTCAGGCCTTCCGCGGGGTCGCGCACAGTCTACGCCGACCAGGCCCACCAGTGGGCTGAGGTTGCGTTCAATGACCTGGGGTGGATTGCCTTTGAGCCCACTGCGGCGAACGGAGCCCCGTCCAGGGCTATGGAATCCAGTGTCACCCCTGCGAGTCGTACTGAGGCTGGCAGCCAAAACCCGCCGCAGCAATCCGCGAGGGTGCAGCCTACGATTATCGACATTGCACAATGGCCGTCCGAAACCCGTTTGGGGGTTCCCTTCGATGTCGGTGGCTGGGTGACCACTGCGTCAGGCTATCCGGTGGACACCATGGAAGTGGAATTGTTCATCAACGAAAACAAGGAGAATGGCGGTCTCAAAGTCGGGATCGGGACCACCGATAACGGCCATTTTTCCGTTACCGTAAATCTTCCAGCTCAGTTCGCCAGAGGCGGCTACCAACTGATCGCCCACGCTTTGGGCAACGCAATTTACGGAGAATCGTGGAGCGACCCTGAAATCGAGGTCTACTCAGGCACTGAATTGAAACTCATGGGACCCGCCACGGTTTCAGTAGACACTACCGCAATATTTGCCGGGCAGCTGTCCGAAGAATCCGGAGCGGTGATAACCGATCAGGAGATTCTAATTGCCATTGATGGGCAGTCCCTCCCGCCGGCCTACGCTGATCAAAGTGGCGGTTTCGAATTCGCCCACAGTTTCGTCGAAGAAGGCAAGCACCTCGTGGTAGCGAGGTTCGCAAATTCCGACTTCCTGCTGGGTAATGAGGCGCAGTTATCCTTGGAGGCAACATTACCCAGCGTATTGGATATCACCGTCCCACATCCGTTGAGAATGGGCGAGGAATTCGCCTTGGAGGGTTCTCTGCGCAACGTACGCGGCCAGTCGCTGGCGGGACAGACCGTCACGGTCTCGCTGGCCGACCGAGCTCCACATTCCATAGTCACGGACGGACTCGGTAGTTTCACCACTAAAAATGTAATGGATAGTACCGGAATCCACACTTTGGAAGCCGCATTTGACGGCGATGGCAGCATAGAGCCGGCTTCCTACCGCGAGGCTCTCAAAGTTACGGAGCAGGTTGCAATAACTGTGGACGGCGAAAGAATCGCCCGCCTGGGGCGTCCGTATTCGCTGACCGGAAAGTTAACCGGATCAAACGACAGACCCTTGTCTGGAAAGTCGGTCGCCATCCAATTGGCTGGAGAGGGCGAGACTATTCTGCAAACCGACGCCGAGGGCATTTTTAACTGGGAAACTACATTTGGAACTGCGGCCGAGACTGCCGTCACGGTAAACTTTTACGGAACTCCTGTACTTGAGCCTTCCAGGAGCCTTTGGCCGGTTGAGGCGGCCGCCCCCAACATTGAGGTTGAAGCTCCGGAGGTTATCGCTCGAGGCGACGTGCTGACGCTCCGCGGAACAGTGGCGATTGGAAATTGGGCTGGTGGTGACCTCGAAATCGTGGCTGTGTGGAACGACGAGCGTCGGGTAACCGGTCGTACCAACGGCTCGGGTTCGTTTGTGCTGCAATACCCGGTGGAACGGGACGCAAATATCGGCTTGCTGGAGTTGGAAATAACCGCTGCCAGTCTGGACACGGCCGTTAAGGTGGCAGCAAATGTCGTGTCCACCGCCAGCATCAGCGCCGCTCCCGTGCCACCAGCTAAGGCCGGCGAGTTGATGCAAGTGAAAGTGCAGCTGCTGGACGACCGAGACCAGGGTGTCCCCAACGCCGTGTTGCGCTACGGTCCAGGTGAATCAACAGTCACCGGACCAGATGGAGCTACTGTTGTCTCGTTGCCCATACCGGACGAAGCGAAACTCACGTTGATCCCATTGACCATAGAGTTTGACGGAGACCATTCCCATCTGCCCGTAGCCTACACCGCGGGTTTGCCGGTGATGCCACCTGCCTTCGATTGGCTTCTCTGTGTAGGATTCCCGGCATCGCTGCTGTTGGTATCCGCAGGGGCGTATGTGTACGGATATAAACGGTGGACCTTGATACCCGGGCGCGGAAGGGGTCCAGTCTCAGGCGAAGGGGCAGCCAGGGCGTCGGCGACTCTGGTGGCAATCCCTGACGTTGAGCCCTTCGAGAACGTCGATGAAGCCGACCGTGCGGTGGTGTCGACTGATACACCGGGCTCCCAAACTGCTGCCCCGGATCCGCGTGATCTGATCGCCACGCGGTTATCATTGGTCTTTACGAATTTGCCGCTGAGCGGAGACAAAATTTGGCGAACTGGAGAACCGGTGGACATCGTATTCGTTCTGACTAACGACGCCGGGCAACCGTTGGCCGATGCGACTTTGCAGTTGGAATGGGACGGCTCACCAAACGCAACTCGGTTGAGGACCGACCCTGCCGGACGATGCGCCGCCGGTTTGTCGAACGGTGATCCAGGCACGTATTTGGTCACAGCGCGTTACCCCGGAGACCCAAACCATTTGCCTGTTTCCGTGAGCGAGGAATTCCGACTTCG